CGAAGCTATTGATGATGATACAAAACAAACAAACAAAAAAAAAAAAAAAAAGAAACTCGCGGCCGTTAAACTTTTTTCCCGATAAACTCTTCTCCGCGGGGAGTCCCGCGTGTACACTACACCCCCGCCTTCCCTCGCCACGACTTCGTATCTCCTTCCGCGCGGTGCGCCTACGTTATTATCATTATGACAGAGGCTCTCCAAACATACCCCAAGGCTCGCCATTTGCGATCACTGGGTGTAGATACGTGCAGTTGCGGCGTGTATACGTATACACACAACGGGAAGAGATAATAGAACATAGCGCGAGCATCGGTTCGGTAACATATATGTACGGTACATATAGATACAGGCAAAGGGAGCCGAGACGAAGGGGCAGGGGCTGGCTTTTTATATGCAAATGAGGACGACAAAGGAGCATTTACATTGCATGGGCGACCTTACGACGGAAATCATCGGAAAACATTGCTTCGGCAAAGTATATAGCAGGACACGCTCTGTACACGCGTATGCATCGTGGAAACGAAAACTTTTGGGGGTCCATCGCAATTAGCCGATGGATTCGCGGACGCTGGAATGCCGTTTGGTGCTCGGAAGCAAAAGGAGGAGGAGCTGCTGTCACCATGTGCGTGGGTATACCTACATACGTACCTGTTTGTTTCGGGGGTGAGGAGAAGCAATTAATTGATTAGTCTAGGAGCTTTTAGCTCATACGCCCCATTGAACGAGCGTGTACTCTCTTTTTCGTCCACTGCCCGTTTTGTATTTTCCATTCGAGTGCAAATTGCTCTATGGTGCGCGCGACGTTAAGAAGCAATCTCGGGATATTGGTGGGGTGTTTCGGGTGAGAAGCTTTTGTTTTGATCGGAATGACTGTACTTTCGTGTCCTTTGACCTTTTTTTTTTTTTTTTTCCTCAAAAAGTAATTTAAAAAATTAAAAGTCCCCGCACTCGAAGCAGTTCATCGACCCATCCCTCGCCAAGATCTCATTTCGGCTGACACGAGTGTACGCTTGTAACACGCGGGCGCGTCACGAGGCGGAAGAGACGAAGCTCCCTCGATCCGATCCCTCGTGCATATTTCTCGCCTCAGGGGCTGGGGTGGGACACGCGAATCACGAGCACATCATATAGAGAGATAGAGAGTCTCCGTGCGAATTTTAATTCCATAGGGGGAGAGCGACGCTACTAATTATCCGGCCGGCCTTTGACGCGGGAGCCCTTGCACTAGGAGTCGACAGACTCTCTTGGCTCTTTTTCATTTTTTCTTCCCCCCACTCTACACAGGACTACAGCCTTTGGGACACACCCTCTCCTTTATCTCCGTGTCTGTTTGAGGTACTAATTACACGCGCGGGAGTCCCACCGGCTTGGATAATACATCGAGTTTGCGATCCGGCTTTTTCCTCCGCTTCTCTCGCTCTTTGAGGGATTTCATTGATCTACTCCCTCGGTCTTGTCCGGCATCAGTTTGTTTCACGTGCTCGCCATGCGTGTGCTCCCCCCCCCCTCCTTCCATGTGAATATACATTCACGCATCAAGGGGGAAGGTATAGTCCCGGGCACGTTGTTGTTGCTTTTTGGCTATTCCGTTTTTGATTAATTCGAGATAGCCAACGGCCCTTTTGACCCCGATGTTGTGCTGTGCGGCGAACTTGTTATGTTAGCTGCCCCACGCACGGCTCTTCTTTCGCGTCGCGTGAAAGCTGCTCCAGCTCGCCGTGTGTAATCAATGGCTAATTGGCTCGCTTTCTCTCTGCCGCGTCTCGTCTTTGGAGCGTTTTCTCGTCGAGTCTTGCGATTCGAGCAGTCATTTGTACGGAGAAATAAAAACAAAACCAACGAGGTACTGAAAGTAGAAAAATAAAAAAAAATAAATAAAAAAAAGGACACATTTCATCGACGTCGGTAACAGACGCGTGTGAGCAACGGGTATACACACGAGCATCTTTCGCAGTGTCATTTATTTTCCGCGCCGTGTGTGATAAAGAGCAGCTAACACGGGAGTCACGCGGTGATGAACGTGAAATAATAAAAAAAAAAAGAAAAACACGTCGCTATGAAAATGCGCGCTTGCGAGGGGTGCAGGGGGCGGAATTACATTTTTGTCGGACGCAGGAGGGCCGCCGCGGACACCACCACGACCCGACGCTCTCTATTTACCCTTTCACTTTGTCCGAGCTCGCGCGAGTGCTCGTGTGTTTTGCGGGCCCCCTTTTTTTCGCAACCCTCCCTTCGTTCTCGTCTGCTTTTTTTTTTTTTTCTGCGCGTGAATATGAACCAACGCGGCGGGTGGAGACTCCGCGTGCGGTAATCGTTGCAGTTGGGGGGGAAAAAAATTTACACGTCAGTTCTTTCCTGATGGTGTACTGAGTGCGTGCGAAATTCACGGCTAGTTGGAACTTTTCCGAGGGAAAATAGGCGTAGCGGTATTTACAGTTGCGACAGAGGGTACAGGGTTTTGGAAGATACTGCCCAGACACGCGATACCTTCTCGTTTAATTAAAAAAAGGAAAATAGATTACGAGATAGAGAGTCTAACGAGGCGCGTGGCGGATTCGAGATCCCGTACGTATAATTGGTCGAATAACACGCGAGACGGAAGGGGAGCGAACTTTTCGTATCGTTGTATATTGCGAGTCTCGGATGTCAGGGGATGGGGGAGTGTTTTTCCACCTCCCAAACTCCGCGGACGAGTCCGAGAATCGGGTCTTGAAGTTTAAATTACAGACAGCGCAGCTTTCTCTCGTGGGCCCTGATTCTCTCTCCTTTTGCTTGAAAGTCGATACCAGTACGACAACAACTCGGAAAGTCAAATCATAAATCTATAAAGGATAAGTACATTTGAAAAAAATTTAGAATCACCGAGGTACCTACATTTTGAAATGTGCAATTTTTCTCTGTTTTAGAGCTAAAACTACTCTCTCTCTCTCTCACGTACAATATTCTTAATTTTATAGGGAAATATAAAAAAATTTGATTGGCATATGTTACGTCTGGTTAGTATTTCTACGAAACGTATATATAGAGTCGAACATCCATCCGTGCGCTCCACCGCAGGCAGATAAGCGCGATAACGCCGACTAATGAGCAATCAAGTGAAAAAAATTTCGCCAGAGTAACCGTCAAAGGAACGCTCTATCCCTCTTTGTCTCTCAAACGATGACTTTTATTCTCGCTCCCGCGTGCGCGTTATACTGCGTGTGTAGTAGGTTATCCGCGTAGTCAACGGAAACGCGACGATGCCCGAGTTTCAAAATGCGCGACTTTACAGCTTTTCTGCGTCCCTTTTTTTTGTTTTTTACTTTGACGGTCTTTCGGACGAATGGCCTCTTTGGAAGTGGACCGAGTTTCCAATTTCGGGGACGTGCCTTTTTTTAATAAAACGTTCTTTCAGGGGACGAACATTACGCGATGAGTTTACTCTCCGATCGTTATTTTAATCCCCGAATCTCGTACATGCGTGGGTTTTCACATTTTTTACACGCACCGATAAAAATGAAAACTAGATTTTTTTATAACGAAAAATCCACCGCACACCTAACTGCTTGCGTAAAACGGGACGCGTCAAAGCGAGGCTTCTCCCCTTTCGATGAACTCTTCAAAGGCAAAAAAATTTTCCCTTTTAATTTCGTATAGCTAACGAAAAAAATTTCCATCGCAATCGCCCGCACGACACAAACACGTAAATTGTTCAGCAACGGCGTTATTCGAGTATTAATAAGCGGTTATTGTGCCCCGAATACTTTACGCAACAACCCATCGCAATATTCAGGTATTATGCACGAAATACGTCCGAAAACGCGCAACGGAGGCGGCGCGTAATTAAAAAAAAATACGAAATTCACCCTTTAACGCGCTACATTAAAAAGCAAATAAACAGGCAAAAGCACCGCGTGTTCCACTTGTATACGCGACACAACAACGACAAAGGGAGCCATACAAACACTCCAAGCACGAGAGCGCGAAACGAAATTCAAGCTCGCCGAGCCCGAATTAATAATATAAAAACGCGAGAGTGGACTTGCGCAAATTTTGTACAGAAATATCGGGTACAGTAGGGCTGGAATGCAAACAACAACACTCGTTATAAACTTGGCTTCGAGTTGCAATTAACTACCTACTTATCATTCGGGGAGGGATGTTACAAATGCTTCGGAAAAAAAAAAACACTCATCTCCGGGAAAACTCGTCAGCGGCGTTAATATCATACGCCGGCAATTAAACACGCTGTCTGACCCGCGAGCCGAAAAAATATAAATTACCCGTTTGGTTGCGAAACGACGAGTAAAACCCCCCTACCCGTGAAATACGCCACACGAGCCCGTCTGCCTCTCCTTTCTCCCACATACGCGTATATTTTATACTTCACGTGCAAATCGCGCGGTACCGGCAAGGCTTTTCAAGCGCACGTGCGCCATCGGTTTGTATTTACGTGCACATAGCGTGGGGATGCACTGGTGTACGGGATAAGGTCGCACGTATGTATATCTGCCGAGGGGGAACGTCGAAAGGGTCGGCTTCTGGTGGTCATTAGGTATCGGCAGTGCTTCGACGGAACAGGTGCGCACACGTAGTCGTGTGCATATCCGTGAAAGTCGGACGCGAGAATGCAGGGGGGAGGGCGACAGCCGGGCCGACTGTTAATCTCCGATAATTGTTATTTTAACGACGAAAATTCGGAACGCGTACGCCGCCGCTGTTACTGCAAGCTCGAGGGTGGGTATGCATGTATACGTGTACCAACGAATTGTGCTGGATGTGCTACAACAGCGTAAAGATAGAGGATTGGCGGTCGAGTGCTTAGACTGGATTATTCTACCTGTACGCATAGGTGTGCTGTACAGCTGTCGATTGAATTTTCCGACTTTAAACAGTGAAATATATTGGTTGTTAAAATAGACAGATTGAGGATGGATTTTTATTTCGATACACGGCTATGGTTTTGTTTTTCATCAAAGAGTTGGTAATTACGAACCATCCGCGTGTTTTCGTTGAGCTTATGAATACACTTGGACATTGATGTACGGCAACTCACCTGCAACAAAGAAAAACAAAAGAAGATGTCAGTACTGGTTTATAAATTAATTTTTAATCTTAACGATTTATGGGATACACGGGATTGTTCCATTATTTTTCACGGTGGTATACATATAAGCATACGATACCAACGAGATGAATCTTACGTAGCGCTTTTTTACGGCGAATTATTTTGTTTCCAAAGTTTAAGTAGAACAAATCGTGTTTGGTCAGACGGGAAAGTTTGTACATTTATACGCGGCACGCATCAAGCCGGAAATACTTGTAAAGTCGAGCAGTTTAATAAGAAAAGTAAGCAACGCCTGTGGGCACCGCGTACAAATTTATAAAGTTGGTAATTTTAAAAAATCCTCGCGAAACCGACGGAAATTGTAATAAATGCGCGGTCTACCGGACTTGTTCCTTCCGGTTGTTTTTACAAATTTTTCCTTTTTTTTTTTCATTATTTCAACGCCAACGAAGAAAGCCAAAACCAAAGTTTTGCCATTAAAAGTTGCGGGGTTAATAACAATTATTCGGATGAAAAAGTCCGCTGTGCAACACCATATCGCCTTTAACGAGTCTCTGAATATTTCCTACTCGCTAGAGTCCCACTATACGGTCATCGACTCGCGGACTAGGAAAATAATTGTTTTTTTTTTTCCCTCATCACCTATACTCTAGCTAATCTCACCGCGCACAATAACCCAACCCTCGATGATCCGATAATCAATTCGGTCCGAATGAAACGAGCTCAAGCACAAGAGGCGCGAGAAGAATCCCACCCAGACAAGCGCCAGAGGCGAAGTACGAAAAGAAAAACTAGCCATATACGTGCCCGGTCTCGTCTCTCGAGCTTCGATAAAACTAGATCTCCCTGAGCCGATAAGATCGGCCGCAGCCACTCTCTCATGCGCGCCCACGTACTCCCCGGGATAAGGGGCACACGCAACGCGTGCCTAATCTCATTCTCGCTCTCTCCTTCTTTATCTTGGAGGCCGCAACGCTGATGCTGCTAATTACGGGAGTTGTCGTCTCCTGGTGCACCGCCCCGAGAGTGCTCCGAACGTGCACGCACGCCCTGGCGAATTAGATAAGGACGAGTGACGTGTCGTCGCTGGCTTATGTATACATATATATACGTAGCAGCTCTTGCGCGACGCGCGTATCTCTGTCTGTGCGCGTATAGTCTCTCTTTGGCTCCGGAGTTCGGGGCTTTGCGCGCTCGGACGCCGTTGTATTGCCGCAGGAAGGAAGACCCCCGTAAATTCCGCTGTATCGGCTCGCCACGACCAACCCGACGGATGAAAGGGATCCTCCCTTTTTTTTTTTTTTTTTTTTTTTTCTCGATACAGCGACCGAGTCCTCTGTACGTGCTGTCTTCTTATTTTCTATTTTATTCGCCCGCCGTGTACGTACATCCGGGGTGCTCTTTTCACAGAATGGGTAGGACGAGCACGTCAAAGGGAGCGTGGCAGCGGCGGTTGTGGTTTTTCCACGACTATTTTCGTCGTTCGCGGTGAAATCGGACGAGAAGAGTTTGCATTGGAAATACTACACCAGTTGGGCGAGAGGAGGAATCGTGCGTGTGCTCCGAGACCCCGAGGACTTTTTGTTTCCTTTGCTCCTTCGTTATCTCGATACTACGCGCTTCGCCGGTCGATGGCTTTTTAATTAACGCCAGAGCCCGAAGGCTTTTCCGTGTTTTAGCTCGAAAGGGGCTTACGATGTTTTTTTTTTTTTTCCCTCCTTTTTCACTTTATTCTCTTACGCAGGATAATGATTAAACTGAGTAATGTGTATTTCGTAGCGACAGGAGCAACTTTAAAGAATATTACGTCATCCGATTGTAGAAGTAACTCTTTTCAGGACACATTGGATGCCAAGTACATGGATATATCTTGGCAGACGAACGATATCGGTAAATCTTTAAAACGGCAATATCCTCCCGCCAAAGTAAAACATAGTCTGTCTGGCTCATTACCGCGATACATCCGGAATAAGTAGCTCCTTTCCCGAAAAACACGATCCGAGGAGGAAAGTTTACGTGTATACGTATACATACACATATATATGTATATTCCAGCCGATATCTCGCGCGGGGGGCCGCTGAACTTTCTCCCGCTATAACATCACGTTCCCACACCGATGCGTTTAGAAGTTCTCGGGCACCCTGGCGAATTATTATGCGCCGCGTCAGGCACTTCTCTCCCCCGCAACTTTTGCGCCGACTCGGCTCTCTCCGTTTGTCTGTCACAGGTTTTTTTTTCTCTCTTTCCTTGCCACACTCTTTTTTTTTCTTTCCCCCCCCCCCCCCCGAGGACGCCCTAACTTTCGGCTTCCGAGGGCTAATAGGTATGGGGGTTAACAGGCTCAAAGACGAAATTTTCGATTGACAAAAAGTTTCTGGTTGATATAATTTTTGAAGCCCCTCCGAACAATTCAGTTTGTTCTCGGAAGCTTTGAGGGACCCATGGAAAGTTGCGAGAACGCGCGTCGATTAGAGCGACGTGTACACCCTGTATAAAATAACTTTAGCGAAATTACCGCGCGGAGGAGACTGCTCGCCGTAAATTTAACGAGCAAACTAATTATTTGAGGGAGCGACCAGGTATACGGGGGCACACCAGTAGATCATACACGTATGTGTGTGACTACACGGGGTCGCGTCGATAAAACGCCGGGGCCGTAAATTCGGGCGGGAGTCGCTAGATACAATCAAACGCATGGCTTTGCGGACACACAGCGAACTCCAGTTGTGGAGTATGTTTGTGCGCGCGCGCGGTTCGATTTTCATACGGAGCTACCGTGCAACGCGAGCTAATCCGTGCCATTGTCGTTGCACGGAGGTCGGAGGGATGCGGGTTACAAAAAAAAAAAAAAAAAAAAAAAATTAAAGCTCGGAGCACGTGCTCTCGATTAAATTTCTCGGTGCGTCGCCACGGCCTCGTTTGCGCTGCACGCAAAGGGTGGGCTCTGGTTACGGTAAACACACCGGAAAACCAAGCGCGTAACGCTAAACCAACGAGTCTAACGAGCCACGCGCCCATTTCTCGGTGTAGGTATGCATATACATATACTCGTTTGGTGGTGGTTTACCCCCCTGCTTTTTTTCCTTTTCTTTTTTTCGCGCCGAGTACATTTGCGGCAAGAGGACGACTTTCACGGGGGCTCGCTCTTTATTTTCTTTCTTCCTCCCGATTGCGCTCAACCCCGACCGCGACTGGGTTAAGTACTTTCGACTCAGCTGCGTGCGCTGGAAAGAAAAGAAAACATATACACACGCGAGCTGCGCGTCGTTTATTTTAATCACCGAAATTGCTGTCCCACTTTTTCATCCGCCAGCTTGGCTTGATTCCTCTTTAAACGCTAATAGGTGGGACGACGCGCAACCCCTTTTCTCCTCGAATTTTTTTTTTTTTTTTTTTCCCTTCCTTTGTGTTTTTACACACCGCGATAATGTACGCTAATACCAAGAACCGTGTGGGATGAACGGGTAATCTCTCTCGAGCTGAACTTTCTCGTGGAGGACCGGTTTAACTGCACGTCGTTATTTACCGATGCAACAACTCTGATTTAATGACTACGAGGGAAATGAGCGCGCCAGACGAGACAGACAGGGATTATCGAGACTATATGGGTCGTAATCCAAGAGGGGTTGGGGGAAAGTGGTTTTTCTTCGAAGCCAGTTATTTTCCGCTTTTCTTCCTGCATTTGTACATAGATGCACGGGTACGGAGCTTTGTACTTATAGGACGGCCCTGTGGGCGCGAGAATTTCCTTTCGGGTGTCGGTCGATCTCTTTCCTCCCCGGCGAAAGGGGAAGCGCGAGAGAGCCCTTCGGGCTTTGCGGATGCACGCGCCCGACCAGGGGGGGGGGAGGCTTGAGAGCTCCGAAAATGACACACTCGAAGAGGAGCCCGAGCACCGAAAGACGAGGGAGGGAATAAAACTCGGTAATCACTGAATTGGTGGATTATTCGGGGACACGCCCATACGTATCCCCCCCTCGATCGATCGTCGCGATGCCATTTGCGCCAGCCGAGTCCGAATAATGCCCTTTCCAAGGGACATGTATATGTATATGTATGGTACATCCGGCTTGCTTTTAATTACACCCGCTTTCCCAATCTCCCTCGGACACACGCCGTGTGCGTGCAGAACTCATTGTCGAATTATCGGGCAATCCATTTGGGATCTCATTTATTTCCCATCACCGTGAGCTGTACAATTATTCCCTCTGTATGTATATGTATGTGTATGTATACCACACGGTTATATCCTGTCCTGCACTTTATACTTTTTTATTCACATGAGACTCCGTGTCGCGGGAATATACATCTCGAGACTACGCCAAGACGATTTTTCTTCCCCCACGACGCGAAATATGTTTCTCTGCGTTGAACCTCGGCAAAGACCACCACGGCTCTTGACATCGTTTTCACACGGTGGAGCCCGCGGTAATCCCGAAAATCCGGCCGCCCTAATATTTTCACCCCGGCATATTCATAAAACTCGGTCCAATTTAAATTTAAATGCGGCCGCGAATTACGGGGTGGAAAGCTCTGGGTTCGTTCGCAATTTATGAATACACAAGTCGTAACTAATACCCCCGCTCTCTCTTGAATGAAATAAAGAACTCGCCGGCAGAGGCTGCTAAGCCCTATATACATACACCTGTTTGTCGAAAAATAAAAAAAATTTGGTGTATATTCGGGACAGCCGTAAACAGTACGTATAGGGTTTTTTATGACGCTTATAGTCGTCGGGGTCCAAGACTTGTCCAGACAAGAAAAGAGAAGAAAAAAAAAAAAAAAAAAAAGAATCCAAAGGAACCCAGGGGGTTGGAAAAATAAAGGAAAAAATCACCCCAGCAATAAGAAACGTCGTGACTGGCACGTACGAAATCAGGGCACACAGTTATAAAAGAGTGGAGCAATAGAAAAAGCGAGGGGCGGACGGGGCGAGGAAAAAATGGAGGATAAATCCGTGGCGAATTACGTACCAGATATTACGGGC